AAAATGTAATTTAATAAAAAAATTAAGTTTTTTTTAAATTTATCGGGTGGTCCTAAACTTTTGGCCAGGGAGTGTATGTATAATATGAGTTTTTAATTAATAAACACATTATTAGGATTGGTCATTTGCTGATGGTTTTAAATGATGGTTCATCATGTTAAGCGGTCCTTACGATTTAAGAGATTACTATCTCTAGAGAAGTCTAATCACTTATCTATAATAAGTAACCCCCATCAAAAATTTGTCATAAATATTTTATAATTAATTTGTAAAAAGCGAAAAATGATATCCAAAATTGGCAATTTTGATGGGATCGCCAAGTATAAGACCGGTCCTAGGGACCCGTTCCGAAATCCTAAAGTTTTAAAATTTTAGATACCAAGAGGGTTTATTACATATTTTCATTAAGTAGCTCATTAAAACATTTTAATAGACAATTTTAATAATAAATTTGTAAAATAATTTTTTTGTAATTTTCTTGGGATTTTTAACATCCCTAATCATTGATAAATCGATATATTGTTTGTAAGCATTATTTTGTATAATGCTATGAACATCACAAGTTCAACTCGTGTTGGTTGAATTTTCCATTCTACTTCAAAATTTTAAAAATTACATGAATACACCTTTTTTAGAAACTAATAATTTTCCAAGCTTTTTTTGATTCAACAAACAATGATTCTATTTTATATAATAATAAATTTATATGCTTCTATCAACAACGAATATATTATGTTAATGTACAAGGTTTAACTAAACAAGCAAATCAAATTGCTTGCAAGAATCATTTATTGCTTTGTTATATATTGCTGATAAGAATATGAAGCATTGGAACTAAATCGACAAATATCAAATCAAAATAAAAATCAAAGATTCAGATACTTTACAACTCGATCAAGAAAATATAAATCCAATTAGAATTCCTTTAATTGGACATCCTTTAATTAGGCGACCTAAAGGAAGACGATCAGGAACTACAAGATTTAAAAGTCCTTTAGAAACTTCATCTTGTCCTAATGAAGTCCGAAGTCAAAACAAGTGTAGTTTATGTTAATATTATAGGTCATAATCGTATAACATGTCTAATCCTATGTGGAAATAAAGAAAAATGGTGATAATATCTAGGTATAGTGTTAGCTATAATTATTAATATCATTTGTTGAAGGGGAAAGATTGGTTTAGGATATAGTAGGCGCGAAGCGCCTAAGCGTAGGCCGAAGGCCGAAACGCAGCATATAATTTTACAGTCAGTTTCTTTAACAGTCAGGTTATCAATCATTCAAAATTAGTTTCGTGTCACTTGGCACGCAAGATGTATCACATGAAATATGGAAACAATCGATGCAACAGACGCACAGTGTGACAATGATTTAATTTCGTTTGATTATTTTACTTTTGATTAACCTGCCACTATGATAGAATGAAAGATCATCTCTCTCTGTCTATTAATAGCCAGATTCTCTGAATATACTGTATTACCTGATCATGCATGTAAAGGTGTATTAACCGACCAATAGGATTTCGTTAAAAAAAAAAAAAAAGCGTTTGTTAATTCAAATATGAATTGTAAGTTTTGGATCTAGACTTAATTAATCACAAAAATAATGTATGATGATGAGAATAATAAGTTTGTTTATTTCTTTGTTAAGGTGCGGTGTAGTGAATTTACAAATAATAAAATTTTTTTTTCCTCGATTGAAAGATATGCTATGTAACAGTGTGATGTGATAAATCAAGAAATTATTTTTTTTTGATGATGCTTATGATATTCTAAAGTAATTATTAACTAATGTATTTATTTTAATATTTGAAAATAAAAAAATAATAAAAAATGTCTTATTTTATTATGAAGAGATTACAATGGGCAGTTCAAAAGGAATAGAAAGTTCATATTGTCTAGCTATATCTTCATCTATTTCTTCCTCTTCAAGCTTTCGTTGCATACAATTGCTTTTTGTAAAAAAACTTTGATCCTTAACCTTCAAAGAAGCCAAGTCTATGGTGGAAGATTGATCTTCATAAGTAGTAGTATTTCGAAGGATTTTTTGAGCGTTTAAAGGTATGATAGGAAATTTGAGTTTTCGAGAGGTATAAATAGCTTGACGATGAATTTGAGGAGGAGTTAATAATGTGTTTGGAGACGTATCCAAACCTTTGGATCTCATACGCCTTATCCGTATACGTTCAGCTCGTTCGAATTCATCAGATTGTTTCTTATACAAGTGCCATTCACCTAATTGATTTACTAATTCTCTGATATCGGGACGTATTGAAATATCCGATGACCAACATTTTTTCATCAATTCAATATAACAATCAGGTATGTCGATGTTTCCGATATTTCCAATACTAGGACGAAGTTCATTATAAGCAATCGAATGAATCAATCTGGAATTATGAAGTTTATCATAAAACGGTTGAGAGTTTGTACATAGTTCCCACATGATGATTCCAAAACTGTAAATATCGGATTTTTTCGTGTGTTTTTCGTGTCTTAATATTTCGGGTGCCATAAAAGGTAATAAATCATTTTTATAATATCCTATTATTGGAATTGCTTCCTTATTCTTTCCAAGTCCCAATTCATTCACTGGAATTTCCAAATGATTCTTAAAAAATTGTCCATTTGTTGCTTTGTCACGATGCACTTGTTCCCCATTATGTAATTGTTCAAGAGCGCAGGCTATTGAATGAAGTATTGACAATTTACGTGACCATGTAAGACGAGCAAAATGATGTGATACGTAATGCCTCAAATCCCACTCGATGGTCTCTGCTACCATCATGAAATGTCCTGTTACGGTCTCCCGAGTTACTCCAAATAATCGAATCATAAGGCCGTTATGAACACGTGAAAAATAATGCAATTTTAACTAAATAAAGGGAAAAAAAGCTTAATTTTTTTTTTAAAAATTTTGATAAAATCAAGTCATTTATTTAACAAATACCTCTTTAAGGAATAAGGATGGAGAATTGCCAAGAGAGTGTAAAGCTATTTTAATTAATTCTCTTCTCGCCACATATCTCGATTCGGTCTCATCCCAACAATCTTTTGGACCTTTTTCCCAATTCGCAGTATAAACAGTTCCCACTTCGGATACGTCATATTTGCTTACTCCGATGAATTCACCAAATGGTATCCATTCCAAGTATTCTGTACAATCGTTTGCGTTCAATTGTGTTTCTCTGATAAATTCATCAATTTCTTTACTCCCCGTCGTCCAATTATCAAAATTTTCTTGGAATTGTGTTGACTGACATTGTTTACACCAATAATTTGCACCCAAGGCTTGCTCACACTCGAGACAATAACTCTTAGTATAAATTCCCATTTACGATTTTTATAAAGGTTAATGTTGGTTATTTGTAATAAATAGGGGAATAAAAATTGTTGTTATAAAATTTTTTAATTGAAATTCGATAAAATCTTACTTCATTATATAGTATTTTCATCATCTCGCTTTATCACGGATATAGAAGGTCCACAAGGATCAAATCGTAGTACAAGTTTAACTTAAATGATGTAGTAATTTCCATATAGAAATTTTGGTTATGGAATTTTCTGAGTATAATAGTATAAATAAATGGGCATTGTCATATGTAAATTTCCTTTTATGTCTAAATGGTACACAGACTTTTCTATTACCATAATGTTTTGTTTCTTAAGAATCATTTACTGGTTTCCGGAGTATTCGAGATTAAAACTTACCGATAGGTTCTTGCGTTTATGCAGAGAAAGATTTTTTTTCTTTTAATATAAACAATCATATTTTTATACTTGAAAATGATGCGAGAAGAGTCGGTGATTTAAACAACGAATTTTTGCTTCGATCGAGCAAGCCATTTTTGTGGGGTTACTTACACAAAAAAAAAAATTTTTTTTTTATAAAATTAAAAAAGGAGATTTGGACAAAAATATTTACGGTGGGTTGAACTTCGTGATTTTCTTTTGTTAAAACAATGAAACTTGGAAATATTGCGTGAGAGATTCGTTTAAAATTTGCACATTACACTCATTTTGTACGATCTTTGTGCGATTGATAAATCTTAATGAGTCATTAAAGAAAAAAAAAAAAAAGACAAAATAAAGCAGAAAAAGGGTTAATCAATCATTAACGCGATAAATGTTTCGCAACTATACGAATTCTTCTGATAAACATATGAAACTACTTTGATCGCCAATCTTTCTCGTATTGTAATCAGGCGTTTTCTTGTAATGGTGCTTAAAATTTACACGATACATTTGAAAAACGTAAACTTAAATTGTTCATATTATTTAATTGTCCTATTACAATTGAATTTTATTAACTTTTTAATTTTCCATTTTGGTTGAATAAAAAGTAAAATTTTAAAAAAATAAATTATGTATGGGATGTATGGGATGAGTAAGCTTTTCTCCTCCGAAAAAAGGAAGCCTTCGGCTTTTTCCATTTCCCCTTGTCTTTGTTTGCCAATTAAATTTAACATACGCAGCAGCGCAGAAAATTGGATGCTCGTGACATCATTTGGCCGATCACATGCAAAATATTTATCTGCGGGGGGAATAAATTTTTCATCCTTTGTCTTTATCTTTTTTTGTTGCAATCCGTCCGTTCGGAGATATAAATTGCCATATCTTATTTTCTTTTTTAGGATAATGACAAAGGTAATTATCTCTTGTTATGTTGAACTAATGTCTTTCTGCTTTAAAAAAGGATGATATCTTTGCATTATAAGGCTGTTTCAAACTGAAATAATTATTTAATTTTGTTGAGAAGATGCCTCTCTGATTTTATTTTATAAATAGATTTTTCAAAAATTCATTACATTACAATAGCATTTATACTAACTTTATATTCTTTAATAACTATAATTTTTCAGATCTTTAAGGTACGTAAACCATTATTTAAATTCAATCATCCAAAACTTTTTTTTTTAAAATAATAAATCCGTCTGTGATGCTGTAAAAAAAAAAAAAAAGGAGTATAATTTGAAAAGAATATCCGATACCCACAGAATTCGCCTTATTTACAACATGGCATATTTTGTCAATCAATTGGATAAGATTAAAAAAAAATCAATAATTTGCGTTATTTTGATTTTATTATTAAGACATTCTTTAACAAAAAACTAGTAATTCGATTTTTGATCCTAGATTTTTTGTGCCAGGATGTTACATTAATACTTTTCTTTTATCTTTTTATTTATTTTACTAGGAAGGCTACGAAACATTAAGTTTACTCCGAGTATCGATAAATCAACATCTGATATTAAAAAGAATCAAAAAACAATTTGAATTAGTTTACTTTATTATTATTATTATTATTAAGATTTAATGTATAATTTCATCTTTGTGAATAAAAAAAACCACATGCTTTAGTCGAAAAAATAAAATAAGAAAATGTAATTCCATCTGAAGTTGAAATTTTTTCGAAAAATTTTTCGGCGGAGATTCGGAAATTCAATAGCCAATAGATTGACCCATCTTCCCCAGGAACACCATCAAAAATTGGCATCCTTAACCTAGGGTGTGGTGTAGACTCTTATCCTAAACTGGGGTGAACGATTAAGCTTTGATGAGTTTCATTGGCCTTATTTATTTTTGTAACATATATCTTAGAATTTTCGCGATATTTTCAAAGAAAAATAGAACGAAGAAATACTCAACTTAAAAAACGAATTTTGGAGTATTTAGTGCAGTGTTTTAAAGGAAAAGGGTGAAAAAAAAATATTTCTCGCAATCTTATTTTCATTTTAGAAGATTTCTTATTGAATAAAACATGATTCATTATTTTTGTTAAAAATGATTATTTATTGAACAAAAACATTTATTATATACATAATTTACATTTTTTTACTATTAGAATATAACAGCTGTAAGCTGCCATAACAATAGACTATCTTAACAATACAGTATATTAATATTTATTTCTTCTTCACATTTTTATTTTAATAAATAAAATAAAAAACGACTGTAAAAAAAAGAAATAACATACTTTTCTAAACGAAATTTACAGACAGCAAATGGAAGTGAGCTGTAAAAAATAAAATAATCTCTTATTTCTATATCAGATCTTATCATACACCTCAGCTTAGGATAAAGGTCTACACCCCCACCTTAGGTTAAGGATGCTCATCAAAAATTCTCAGACATGTGATTTTATGTACACGTGATTTAATTTATGGGTGATGCAAAAATGTTTTATTGAACAAAAACAAAATTTAAAAATTCCACGCTTCCTTTTTTTTATTTTCATTTCAATATTGCTTTTTTTGTTCACGTTTTAATACCAACAAAACATTTTTTTAAAAATATTAAAATATTTCAATATATTTTTTCAAATTTTTTTTCTATATTGTTCTTTTAGAGTATCAGAAGCATCAGAAAATGATTTGATTTTTCCAATGATAGGTGAGGTTTTTTTTTGATTACTTTTTCATTTAATTATATAATTTCTTTTTTTTTTATTTTCATTTAAAATTACTTTTTTAATTTTTTTAAGTCTGTTTCAAGTAATTTATCTCTTAGTGCTGTACAATATCTATTATTTCAAATTGTTGTAAAGTGTGATATATCTACACAAAAAATATATTATCTACTTTTAGACCTTTCTCTTTATCATTTCAGCTATCAGTTTATCTCTTTAAACCTTAATAAAGATGCTTTTTAATAATTTTGTAAATTAGAAATATCTCTTATTTCAGTAGATAAAGAAATTAATTAGATTATGCTATCTTCTCTACAAAATATTAAGATCGCTTTGCTGAATTTGAGTATCTTTCACTTTTTTAATTGTATTTAAAATATCATTATTATAAAGGTCACTAGAAAATAGGCAAAAGTGAAAATATTATATGTGATTGGCTGTATCTTTTATTTTATTATAATAGTATATAATGAGAAAATTATTGTTATATTAAAGTCTTCCTTTATATTAGCTATTGTAATTTAAGTGTATTAATTGATAATAATAGTATCTTCTGATCTGATCTCTTTAAACATTATTATAGAATAATTGAATATGCTTCAAATTTACTTAGTATATCTATAAATACTTTAGAAAATGAATTTGTTAATAATAAAAACAATCAGAATTGTAAAGATCTAAACAATATTAAAGGAGAGATCCATTTTGATTAAATGGGTTGATTACTAGAAAAATCAGATTCTGACAATTTTTTAAAAAAATTTAGATTTTTATTACATTTTAGTTTTTGATGTTCTTAGATTAAAATGCATTAAGATCTTAATTTTAGTCAAAAAATTCTCAGAATCTGATTTTCCTAGAAATCCTTCTAGATGATTCTTTTAGAGATAAGACTTGATACAAAATTTGAAATTGTTTTTGATTTAAATCTCTGTAATATTGACTATAATTATAACTGGATTGCTGATCTTAAAACATATTATCTGATCTTAAACTTATTAACATTTCTAACTTTATATAGTAAACTCACAATTTTATTAATTTTAATAATATTTCCTTACCTAATTATGCAGTAGATCTCTGATTTTTGAATAAAAATCAGATATTGATATATAGATGATACAAAAAGTAGATTTATCATGTATTATTAATATATGTTATTTTTTATTAAAATTTAAAAAAGTTCTTCTAAAACCTTTATATTATTATTTAATAGTTTTGACATCTATTTTTTTATTTCAATTATATTTGATCTTTTATAATCATCATAATTAAGATTGCTGAATAAAACTTAAAGATTTTACAATTGTTTAAATGAAAATAGGTAAAATTAGTAAAATTATATTAAAACTTTATTAAAAAATCTGTGAAATTCTAGAAAAGATAAAACTAAATTAAAGCTTATAAAAATGTGAAACTATATCAAAATCTTAGTAAAAATTAGCGAAACTAAAGTTTAAATATTTTATTAAATTTAAAATAACTTTAAACAAGTAACTTTAATTATAATAAACATTTTTTTTAACATGAAACTCTTATCCAAAATATTTTAATTAAATATAAATTATATTTTTTTATTTTAATTCATATATTCAAAAATATTATTATTAAATATAAATTTTAAATTCACTTACTATCATATTACAACTAACACTTTAAAAATATTCTGTAATTATTTGATAAATATTTTTATTACCTAATACTTTTACATTATCAACATTAAAAATTTGTCCTATAAAAATAATTTACAAAAAGTCATTAGATTTGATTTTATATAGATCACATTAAGGAAAATCTTGAATACTAGAAAATTGAACTGATTCATCTACTTTGTAAAATTCACCTAATTCACTTAATTTATTTGATTAACTTATTTTCTTTATATATTTATTATTTTTGTTATAATTATTATTTTTATTATTTCT